CCTTTTCTTCCTTGTAGGTCAATGCGTCGCACTTGTCGGTATGTAATCAAGGTGAGGTAAACCTGTTTACGAAATAAAGAGATGCCCTTTTGTATCTGTAAAGGAACAAGTGGCTGCGGCAAGTCGACCGTAGTTCAGCTGATTGAGAGATTTTACGATGTTGTTCAAGGCTCTATAGTGAGTGAGAAGCATTTAGAATGTACGAAGGTAAACATGAACTGAAATTTCTTTTCTCTCTTTTACTTAAGTTAATTGACGGTAACAATGTAAGTGACTTGAATCTACAGTGGTATCGATCTCAACTTGGTTTGATTGGACAAGAGCCAGTTTTGTTTGATTTAACAATAAGGGAAAATATTGCTTATGGTGATCATTCTCGTTCAGTCGAACAAATTTCGTTGGATGAAATTATCGAGGCAGCCAAGAAAGCCAATATCCACGAATTCATTCAAGCATTACCAGTGGTATTAAATTATCCGTCTTTGTGTTACTGGGTTTTGGATCCAACATCTTTCTTGTTTGCTTTAGGGTTATGATACCAATGTTGGCTCTAGAGGAACTCAATTGTCGGGCGGAGAGAAACAACGAATTGCCATAGCTCGAGCTCTCATACGTAACCCGAAAATTCTTTTAATGGACGAACCAACAAGTGCATTGGATTATGAAAATGAGAAGGTTTGCCACTCGGGCGTGTTATTTCAAAATGAGCAAATCGTTTCTCGTTTTAGATTGTCCAAGAAACGTTGGAACAAGTACAAAAAAACCGTACATCCATCACAATAGCACATCGTCTATCAACAATTGAAAACGCTGATTTGATTTGTGTTGTAGAAAATGGACAAGTTGTTGAACAAGGAACACATCCAGAACTAGTAAAACAACGTGGTCTTTACTGGAAACTATATACAACAACTGTACAATAATACTTTTATACCACTAAGTGTATTTAATATAAATCGTTTATTTAATAAAAGCAAGCTTTCGATACTTCACAGTATCATCATCAGTCCAGTGATTTGATGACATGATTTGACGCTGATTTGGTAGATAGAAGTATACTGACATTTTCTGACTCTTTTACGTTTAAACTAAGTATATTTAATATCATTGATTTATCTGTGACCATGAAGGGGGCGAATAATTACCCATTATTATTGTTAAGAGCACCAAAACATAGACTACGGACATGAGTAGAACAACTGAGTGGAGCAAAATATCATAGTTAAAGTGTGTTTATGTCCGAACATTATACTTTGGTAGGAGACAATACCCTTCTTGCATAAAATAATTGTACTTATGTCGAAGACAGATCGAAAGTGGCCGCGATGGCCACGATCGCTGGTGACTTTTCGAGTCGGTCATTGAACCGAAACCAATAAGCTTTTTTCGGCATCGTCGCTTTGTGAGTGAAGTAAATCGTGAATATCTCTACATTTCAGTCGCTTAAAGCGGATAACTTTAGGTCATGAATATATGCAACCATGGTAAAGTTTATAGAAATAAAGTAAACGTGAAAATTTTCTCCGCGAAGATAATGGTGGTAAATAATTTATTCAAAAATAATGTCGATCAGTAGATAAGGGGGTTTGATGTATTAATGACGATTGAAATAAAATAAAATTTTTGATGAAAGATTTTGTATGCCAAAGTTTTTTTAGAATTATTGATCAAATACGCATATTAGTTTAAATATACATTCAAATATCCGAATGAAAAGTAATGACATAATGTGCGATGGAATCCTTAGAAAGACCTTTTGTGGTTGTCTGTGACTTTAGATGAACTTTACCATGTGTAGAAAGACCTTTGTAGCTTTCAACCATTGCCTTGGTGGTCTAAAATCGTGAGATCGTCCACATATTACATCAACGCTTTTAAGAGCCATTTGTAAGACTTCTACTCCATCTGTTAAGAAGCATATAAAAGACTCCTTTCCTTACAAATAGATCAGTTGTTTTAAGCTTTATTTTTTCAGAATACAAGTGAAAAAGTATTCCATTATAGTATTCTAACTACAACTATCGCAACACAAAAACAATTTTGTACGAATACAGATTCGAACACATGAACTTAGCTTTGCAGTAACTACAAAACTAAATCCACTATTTTGTGTCTATATTCTGTACAACGATTGAAGTTGTGCAATCGACTCGATGTTATCAGTAAGATGCCGCTAAGGCAGAATTGGAGCAGATTTTAGATTTGGCTCATTTATACCTCATTCGATGCAGTTTTCAACGCTGATCACGAATATGTGGTCGCGAGATTTTTTAGACAAAGTTTTCCCCGTCAAAAACTCGAAAAACTTTAGTAGTGTCGTGTTTTCCAAAACGGGTAGTTTTGCACTAAAAACTCGATAACTTTGCACCGTTAGGTCGCATAGATCTG